TCAACGGAGAACTGCAGATCAGTTTCAGAAGATGTCAATAAAACAAGGTCGTCTGCAAACAGCAGCCTTATCGTCTTCACATCTACACCGATACACTCATCGCCTTGGCTGCACCTAGCCATTCTATCCGTGTACAACACAAACAGGAGAGGGAACAAGACGCAGCCTTTGCGGAGATCAGTGTCAACGTTGAAAGGTTTCGACTTAACCCCATTTACTCTGACGCAGCATCTGCTATCAGAATTCAATGACTGGATGGCCCTTAGCAGCCGGCCATCTATCCGGTATAGTGGCAGACATGACCACACACTGTTACATGGGATCCGGACATGCTCTTTTTCTAGGTCCACAAAACAGATGCACAGCGGACGGGCGTATTCCCACGATTTCTCAGCAATCTGGCGCAGGGCGAATATATGATCAGAACTGCTTTGACCGGGCCAGAAGCCATACTGCTCTTCTTGTATCCAGCAGTTATTTATTTCGCAGCACCTCCTTACTAGCGCCCTTGCGTAGACTTTACTTGGGAGGCTGAGTAACGTAATGCCCCTATAATTGGAGCACTGCTTGTGGTCACTTTTCTTCAGTAGGGATACAACAACCGCCGTTATCCAGTTCGCTGGTGTCTTTCCTGTAGACAACGCAGTTTCGCAGACACGTGTAAACCAGGTCATGCATTGTTCGCTTAATGCCTTGACAATTTCAGCATGTACTTGATCAATTCCAGCAGCCTTCCATTTTTCAAGCTTTTCACAGCATGTGTGATTTCATCTAAAATGATAGCAATATCCTTACCCTGCTTCTTTACAGGCAAGTCTTCCTGCAGTTGCTCGGGATTAAGGAGTCCTTCAAAGTACTCTCCAGTCGCCGAAGAATATCCTTATCCTCGGTAAGAGAGTGTCTAGACCTGCCCTTCAAGATTGTTAGACTGCCCTTCTTTTCTCCCCGCAGCCGTCGGATGGTCTGCTAGAATACCTTGTTTGCAGTGTGAAAATTCGACTCCAACACCTCACCGAACTTCTCCCAGCAATCATCTTTGGCTTTTGCCACTGCTTTCGCTGCCGCCTTGCGTGCCTCGACATATCGCATGCGAGTAGAAGACTCTTTGTTTCCAAACCATTTCTTGAATGCTGCCTTCTCTTTAACTGCCAGCTGTACCTCTCATGTCCACCAGTAAGTTCGTTTCTCACCCCCGGACTTCAAGGCAGGCGAATCCGTTTAACTCCGAGGCATTCCGCGGCCGCTTCGACTATGCCTTCCTTAAAAAGCTCGGTTTCCACATCAGTGGTTATCACCGGGATCTGTTCAAACCGTCGTGCGATGTTTTTTGCAAATTTCGTCCTCGTGTCCACCGAAGATAATATTTCCCATTTGATTTTCTGGTTGCTTCTGCCACCAGATTTTCGTATGGTACTCTAT